CCCAGCGACTCCCTACTGTTCATTGCCATGCGTTGTGTCCCCGGTTCCCTTCATTGGGGTGTGTTGTCTGTGCAGACCAATGAGCCGCCTTAGAGCGACGCACAACCTAACCCATGGAACATTTCCCACCTTGGTGCCCCGTATGGCGCCGTCACACGCCGTGGCCCCTCACTGACGTGCGTGTGGAGCCGCCCGCCGGCGCTGAGAGCGAGGAGGAAATTTCTGCAGCTTTTTCCAATTATCTGACATAGATTCGGCATGACCTCATAGAGGAGAGCGGCGCAGGATCTGGACGCAATCCAGGGGACACATTGCTTCATAGTCCGTCCTGGAGGTGCGCAGTATGGCAGCCCCGCGACGCACAACGCCCCGTCCGCGGTCTGTAAACGCAGCGCAGTGATTGGAGGGATTATCGCACCGCGCTCAGAGGGAAGATTTACAGACGCCGATCACAGGACGCGGCGCCGATATATCTCCGAGTCTGACCTTATGTACAATGACGGGGACCGCCGCCTACGCACCAACCAATCGGGTCTGACGATTCTCACTGACCCCTCCCATAGCGCTGCCCGGCCGTCCTCACTGACCCCTCCCATAGCGCTGCCCGGCCGTCCTCACTGACCCCTCCCATAGCGCTGCCCGGCCGTCCTCACTGACCCCTCCCATAGCGCTGCCCGGCCGTCCTCACTGACCCCTCCCATAGCGCTGCCCGGCCGTCCTCACTGACCCCTCCCATAGCGCTGCCCGGCCGTCCTCACTGACCCCTCCCATAGCGCTGCCCGGCCGTCCTCACTGACCCCTCCCATAGCGCTGCCCGGCCGTATGGGGATTGTAGTTTGTTGCTGTCCCATGTTACCCTTCAGCCCCGGACACACAGACTGTCCACCAATCCGCTTCCATTCTCCCGCACACTGACAGTTCTTATTTCAGCTCCGGCATTGGCCGCTCTGTCTGGTCGGTATTGTGATCCGGATACATGGCAGTGCTGGCTGGTCGTTGTGTGG